ACAGCTGGTTAAAATGGTAACGCTTTGATAATTTTTTTTTTTTTTTTTCACCTTATCAGTTCTTATTTTTGTGAATTCTTCACTTGTATATTCCTTTCTGGAGGCTGAAATGAGGCTGGGAGATGTGTAGCCGAGCTGGCCTTTTGAAGAGTCTCAGGCAAAAAGTTTGGGGGAGATTGTCCCTCTTTCCTGCCATAAATACACAGCTTCCTTTGAAAAAAACAAACAAATAAAACAAATAAACCCAACCTAAGACAAAAACCCCTACACAGAGAATTGTATCATGGAGAAAATTCTCTTTTTCACAGGCTTTCTTCATGGCACTGGGAAAATACTGAATGCTCCCTGCTCTATTTTTCTGTGGTTGCTATTTTTACCTTTCCAAAGCCCTCCAAGCTTCCCTCTATTGCTCCCTTCTGCTAAATTTCCTCATCATTTTCTTTTTTTTGGTTTCTCTCCCAGTTTCCAGCTCATACAGTGGTGCATGAATATATTATATATTCTCGAGGGAGGAGGCAATCTCTCCAAGCACACATTTCATCACACACTGGGCAACTGTTTTCAGGCTGGGGTTTGACCTTATATTGAAACATCACCTATAACCTGTATCCAATGTCGAATACATTTATATTGGGGTGCTGAGTTATTGTTATCTCTATTGAAGGACAGTGGGATTTCAGGGAACAGGCGTCGTGCAAGAGAGGGCCCGAAAATCTCCAGCACTTTGAGTGTCTTGCATAAGATTCAGAATATTTAAAACTCCAATTAAAACTGCTGAAATAAAAGCAGTATTGGATACAGGACTTATAACAAGATTCAACGTGCTGTGGGAAATGCTTTTAAGGTGACCTGCAAATCCTCTTTAATTGCTCTGCTGTTGCAAGAGATGCTGTGCGCCCTCAATAACAGGGCTGGCGAGGACATCTGCTCTGAGTTTAAAACAGCAAAAGTAAGTCAAAGTTGGAGGGTAAATTCCTTGAAGGTGTGGCTGTGCTGAATCACAGCTYTAGTCTTCTGATGAAGATGCAGGTCCTAAATTGCTGCCTAAAACARGGCAGGCTGGTGCCCTCCCTCCATCCCAAGCTGTCCATGAAGCTGCCAAACTTCCCTCTTTCCCTGCATGTTTGTATCCTCCAGGCTGGGCCAGCAGATCCTGCAGGCTCTGGGGTGACCCCTTAACACAGAACCAAAGGCTGGGGAGGTTCTGAGCATCAAGACTTGCACCAGCATGTTCAGGAGAAGAGGGAAGGTGAGGGCTCAGCCCAGGGGTGCAGAAGATGCAGACAAGAGGGGCGAGGGGTGCTCACTGTGTCTGCCCTGGTGTGCCTGCAGAAGGATCTGGGATCTCCTCACACAGCCATAAAAATATTCAGGCAGCACAGATCCCAGCAAAGTCAGGTCCTTAGGGATTCCTGGTCACCTATATATCTCATGGGAACGGCAGTTTCTCTCTGGCCTGAGACATCCAGGACAAATGAAAGGTTGYTTTAGGGATGCTCAGACACTGCATCTACATAAGGAAGCAGCCAGGCCAGAATATCATCTCTGGGATGCATTCGGGAAAGGGAGGGGATACATTATCTCATTGGCCTGAATGCTCCTCTTCTCTTTCCTCCCCCAGAAAAGCTGCCAAGAGTAAAGATCTCTCAGGAAATAAACTCCCACTCCCTTGTTCTCACTATGTGCAAAGGGGATGGATGATGCACCATCCTGGCATGGCTGGGTGGGCAGGGGACAGCAACACAGCTCCAGCCCTACCTGAGCTGCCGTGAGAGCTTCTTTCAAAAGGGGATTTTGCATGATTGTTTTTCTAAATGTGGAGATCTTGCTGCTGAGTGGAGGCAGACTCAGCTTGGAGGTGGGGGGTGTCAGATACTGCTGTCAAATAGGCTCAGAAACAGACACACATGGATAATACATGCCAGACAGTTTGTCTGACAAATTATTGTTTCTGCTGTCACTTAAATTGTTCCATACGTCATCTTCCCCTCCCAATTCTGTTTCAAACAAACCTGCTTAGGGATGACTCTTCTTCCAGCCCTTCTCATGACTAAACCAGTTGAAAACCCAGTTTGTTCCATTCAAGCACTGTGGGTTGGAGCCATTTCCCTTTTGAAGTTATGGATGGCCAAGAGGAGGGAAATGACAGGGATGCTCTTCATTTCCTGCTCCCTGTTGTACCTGGTACTACAGATGTAATTATGATAAAAATCAAAGAGCTCAGAGAAAGGTAAAATGTAGCTCCTGTGTTAGCTTTTGGTCTCAAGGTAGGTGGAGCAGGGATTGCCATCCATGCAGGGATGCAGGGCAGAGCTGTCATTAGGGCATTGCTCTCCCAGTGGTCTCCACCCTATCTGGACACCAGCACATGCAATAGCAGCAGTGACTCGTGTCCAAGGCCAGCAGGCAGCCCTTACCACCCTGGAAAAGGAGCTGCAGGTCCATAGCAGGCCCTTTAACCAGGGGATGGGAAATATGGGGACAACTTGTGCCACCAAAGACCRTGGGAAGTCTGTCTCCAGCTCTGGTGCAGCAATTCTGGATGGGAGTTAGCTGGCAGACACAACACTTTTGTGAAAGAAGCCAGGAAAATYTGCTAGTCTTTCCAGGAAAGTGCCCCTGGCTCTTCTATCCTGCAAACCATGCCTCATGTCAGGAAATCACGTCCAAAGCRCTCACATGCAGAAAGCTCTCAGCACCCCTCCATCAGCTCTGACACCCCTGTGCCTCTCACGGTCCAGCCCTGACCATCAGCACCGAGGCACCAACAGAAAGCACTGGAGAAAGGCAGAAAACCTCTCTCATTTTGATGATGGACTCATCCATTCCTCCCCTCTGTGATGTCAAGGTGAATTTGGCTGTTACAGACCGAGTCAGTCCCCTCGTGGTTGCTCCTGCCAGCAGCCAGTGCAGGTGAATTACAGCTCAACACGAATCCTGTCTCCATCTAATACCCTGAAGGCAGTAAATGTCTGACTGTTATTAGGAAGTTATTGTCTGAAGCCTTTCAAACAGCAAAAGGAGGGCTTAAAAACACCTCTAAGTGCCACAGCTGCTGAAGGAGCATGCTGAGAACCAGGTATCTAATTTACTGCATCGTTCCTCCACCAAGCCTCCTTCTTCCTGGGCAAACGTGCCCCCACGAGGGTCTTTTAGGAGGGAAAAAATTCCATGTTTYTGCCCATTTCAGCTCCAAGATTTGCAATTACTGCAGGCAGAAAAGGCTGTGCATAAACCCCACTTTGAGGTGGGGATATGGAATTTCAATCTGTGCTGTGCATAACAGGAACCC